ACAAATATTCTTGAATCCGAGGAGCCCATCAACGGGGGGGCTACCACTCTTTACGGTGAGGGCATGTACTCAAGAAAGGAGCTACGCGGGTGGGATGTCAAGACAGGATAAAACAGAGGCCTGAGAAGCAAGTACCCCTCGGGGCTTGTCCCTCTTGCCCCTTTATCACTGCCCTGAGAACACACTCGGGCTAGTCTGCTGGCAGGGTGTGAGAGACACAGGGAAGAGGACCAACCTCCCCTGGTGACGGGGAGCTGACCCAGAAACACAAGCTTTCAGCCAACAGCAAGCCTGTGCCCAGACCACGAGTAAGCCCTACCAAGGACAGAAAAACCACGCAACCTAAACCATGACCCAGAGACTCACGAGCTGAACGCTTTGAAGTCACTGAACCTGGGGGTTACTTAGTATGCATCATTATCTGTGATGATAGACACAGAGGCCCCAGGGTGGTTTAAATTTCAGAGTCTCCAACTCTACCTCCTGCCCCACAGAGGCTGGTTTTATGAAGAGCTGGCTTCCCCTCTGCTGCCCATGTAGATTTTAGGTTAAACCCAACGGGAGGATTTCAAGGGCAGGAGCAATGGGTTGCCACTGGTTTGTGCAGTGCCAATAGCAGGTTCCAACTGGCTTCTTTTTTTTCTTTAAGTGGAGGTACTGGGGACTGCTCTACCACTGAGTTATCCCCTCTCCCTCTAACTGGCTTCTGGTGGAACAATCTTTTTGTAGATGTTAAATGCTCTGAAAACAGATGAGGGTCTCCAGAAGCTAGGCCAAGTGTACAGGTGGCCGAGTCAGAACTTAGGACCAAATAAAAAGGGCTGAGCTACTGGGAACCAGGAGTTATGAACCTCCAAATGATAGCAGTGACCAGTGTGAGAAAGATTTGGTAAATCCAACGAGGAGAAGAATTAGCAGCAAAACAATTTAGGATCTAAATACAGTAATCTGAAAGAAAATACAGTAAATGAAGTTAAAAATTCAATGGAGCTGCTATACAACAAATTAGAATTAAAAATTCAATGACGAAGTTAAATATGGCTTAAGAAAAAAATGAGTGTTTGAGGTTACCATCCAGAAAGTAGCACAGAGAGATAATGAATTAGAAATAGTAAAGTGAGAATAAATGAAATAGAGGCTGGACACCACACATCTAATGGGGACTCTAAACTAGGGGGAGAATACAGAAGGCTAATTTCAAAGTGAAAAACAAGTGAGAATTAAAAAAAGAAGTGAGTACTGAGGATAACTCTGACAAAAGATGTGCAAGACTTTTACGAAAACTATGAAGCGTTACTGAAAAACAACAGAGGACCTAAATCGTGGAGATTTAGTTTAGTTCATGACTGTAAAGTTCAATCACAAATCATTTTTCCCCAAATGAATCTATAAAGTCACTGCAATTCCAAGAAAAAAATCAACAAGGTTTTTCTTTTTTTTTTTAAGGAACTTGCCAAATCCATCTTAAAAATTTATAGTAAAAAGTAAAGTACCTCTGTAACCTTCCTCTCTATTGTAAACCTAAAACTGCTCTAAAAAAATAGTCTAAAATTACGCTGTACAACAGAAATTGACACACTGTAACTGACTATACTTCAATTTAAAAAGTCGTTAAAATTTAAAAAGTGCCAAAAATAAAGCCATTTTCAACTCGCCCTATCAGATATTAAGATTTTATCAAGACTGTGGTATTAGCATAGGTGGAGAAAAACAGCCCAAGAAAGTTAGCAGCAGACTCATGAATATTCATAAACTTGGTAGATGACAGAGGCAACCGTTTTCTATCAGAGGAGCAGAGTCTCTGCCTGAAACAATAAATCACAGGGTGTGACACATCACATGCAAAAATCAAGGCAGAATCGAGTACTTAAACGTAAGATGCAAATCCGTAAACATTTTAAAAAGTAAAACATCTCTGATCTTGAGGTAACCTCAAAAGCAAAGTTAAAATACAATTCACAGACTAGGAGAAGGTATTTCCAAGGCATGTTATAAAGGGTAATATCTATAATAAGCCAAGAACTCTCAAATAAGAAAAGCTCAATATATTAAAAAAAAAAGCAAAGGATATAATGAACAAATAAACCACAGATGTGTGGAAGCCTAAATGGTCAACAAACAAATGAAAAGCTGATCGGGCTCACTGGTAACACAGGGAATGTAAAACAAAATGAGGCCCGTTTCAGTCCCAGATCAGCCAAAATGACAAGACCAACTAAGGTTAAGTGCAAGACAAGAGTGGGGAAAACAGCACTCACACTGCTAATGCAACTATAAACAAAACTGGTTCCTCCACTTTGCAGACCCATTTGGAAATATTTAGCCATGATGAAACTGCATATACCCTCTGACCCAACGATTTGATCTCTAAGTACACTCTCAACACATTTGCACAAGACTTCCAAGAACGTTTGTTCAATGCAACACTGGTTAAAATGATCCAAAATTTTAAAAAATTTTTCCATCAACAGGGGAGTGATCAGTAAACTGTCGCATATACATAGGATGGTGGCATATACATAGGACAGAACACCAAACAGCAGTTAAAAGGAATGAATGAGAGTTACATGTATCAGAGAGATTTCAAAATACTACTGATTGAAAAAAGCAAGCTATGAAAGGATACCTGTAACACAGATAGCACAAAATAATATATTGTTTATGGATACCGCTGTATACATGTAATATAGACAATTAAAGAAGACGGAAAAGCTAGCCACCAAATTCAAGGTCGGGTTTAAGCCATTATGGAAAACAGTATGTAGATTCCTCAAAAAACTAAAAATAGACTCACCTTATGATCCAGCAATCCCACTCCTGGGTGTATATCCAGAAGGAACCTTAATTCAAAAAGACACATGCACCCCAGTGTTCATAGCAGCACTATTTACAATAGCCAAGACATGGAAACAACCTAAATGTTCATCAACAGTTGACTGGATAAAGAAGCTGTGGTATATTTACACAATGGAATACTACTCAGCCATAAAAAAGAATAAAATAATGCCATTTGCAGCGACATGGATGGATCTGGAGAATGTTGTTCTAAGTGAAGTAAGCCAGAAAGAGAAAGAAAAATACCACATGATATCACTTATACATGGAATCTAAAAAAAAAATAAAGACAAATGAACTTATGTACCAAATAGAAACAGACTCACAGACACAGAAAACAAACTTATGGTTACCAGGGGAGAAGAGGGTGGAAAGGGATAAATTGGGAATTCGAGATTTGAAGATACTAACACATAAAAAATAGATAAACAAGTTTATATTGTACAGCACAGGGAACTATATTCAATCTTATAGTAACTTATGGTGAAAGAGAATATGAAAATAAATATATGTATGTTCCTATATGACTGAAGCATTGTGCTGTACACCAGAAATTGACACAACATTGTATACTGATTATACTTCAATAAAAATTTTAAAAAAAAAGCAATCGGGTTTACCTTTGTAAAAGGAAAGAATAAAATTAGAGGTGGTAGTACTTTAAAAATATAACTTTCTTTTTTTAACAAATGCCCTTAAAGCAAATGTGAAACAATATTGTATCTACTAAAGCTGGGTAGTATTTACAATAGGCATTATCCTCTGTACTTTCAGTGCCTGACGTATTTCGAAAATTGAAAAGTAAAAGTAGCCAAATGCAAAGATATCAGGGAAAGAACAATACTTCCCAGCTCTTATTAAACCAATTTTCTGTGGTACACATTATTTGTAGAACTGTAACTCAGCGTACACATAAAACAGTTTCTCTACTTTAAATTGTTTTGGGGTAGTCAGGCTGACAAAAATTTCTTCAAATAGGAATTTGATTTCTCCTAGCTGGGGCACATCCTCTACATGCTTATGACAGACACCCTGACCCATGGCCCCTTCTCTTGCTAACAGAACCAATGCTGTTCACATATCAGATGGCTAAATGCTTCAAAGGGTTTTCACAACCCAAGGAGAGGAATCTTGATTACTTTAAGCTGATCACAGCAATTCTAATCTTCATGGTAATGAAAGATCTAGAAATAGGCATTTGATGTCTTCTGGTAAGACAAGTAGGTGAAGTCCACCGAAGGGCTTCTGTGAAAAAGGAACACCTTGGAGAGATGTGGAATAAACAACCTCCTCTCTTCTGCCCTTCGGACAAGCAGACAATGCCTAGAGATGCCGCCACCACCTTGCTACACCCTTGAGGGTCAATCCAGAGGCCAAGAACTCACAGTAGCAGATGGACAGGCTGAGAAACATGGAAAGACACCACAGAGCCATGGAATTTACCAGTCGTGGAACCGTCCTACCCAGACTTCTTGTGAAATAAACTTTCTTTACCATTCAAGACCCACTTGGGTAGGTTTCCTGCTCCATGCAGTTGACTGCATATTGATAAAATCGTGCTCTTTATCAAAGCAAAACACAAAACTCTGAAGAATGTACAGATTCCAGTGAGTTCTTGATGACTAACTGTAAAGACCTTGTTATTCTCATATGTCTGGAGGCAGGAATTTTGCAAACTACACAAATAGTTGGAGCTTTATCAGAATCACTCTAGTTTTAGGTGGGGGTATAGCTCAGGGGTAGAGCATTTGATTGCAGAATCACTCTAGTTTTGCCTACATTTTCCCAGTCACTGAACAGCCCAAATGAGAACGTGCCTGTTTTGTTTTTAGCACTGGGAGCCACACCAAGAAATGGATTCGATTCCAAATTTGCTTCTTAGGAAGTATTTAAAGGCGTTTAGTCCGTAACATTCCTTTGTAACTCTTCACACATGGCTACCAAAAATGTTGTCTGCGTGCATATTCCAACTTTTCCAACAAGAGGGACAGCCCACAGGTGGGCGCTGGACTTGCATCTTTTCTACCTGCGCCCTACACCGGGTAGATCCAAAGTCCAGAATTCTTCGCGGGGATTCTCCAAGGTCAGAGAGCCAACTCCTGGAACTCTGGAGGAAGCTTCTGTTTAAATGTCATGCTTTTGTAATAACTGAACAACCACAAAAGTATGAAGAAAGTGGATTTATTTAAAAAGAAGACTACAAAATTTGACATTGAGAGAGATATAAAAGACACAGGATACATAATTAATAAATACAAAAATGATTGGCTATAAACAATGTAAAAATACATTTCCCGGTCTCCAAACAGAACATAAGCATAGCAATTATAAAATTTTTCTACTATATGCACATTCCCCTTATAATTTTTAAGAACCATTCTAAACAGTTTATTTGTAAAATAACAAATTTACCATATCCATTGATTTAAAAAATTATTTTAAATTTGAGTTTTATATTGAGTTTGCCCTTTTCTATACATAACAGTGGCTTTGGTCCCAAGTTCTCCTTGAACTTTTTATTTACCACAAAGGTCTTTTTATTCCTAATTCCTTCTACAATAGAAGAGGGAGGCTAATCAGTCATGGATCTGGTAGAAAACAGTGTGAAGAAAGGTTCTAGAGGGGCCAGAAATACCGGTGAATGTATCTTGAAAAGGAGAGGATTGGGGGGCCAGCTAAGAGGTCCATTTCTGCACCAGTGAAACAAATGGAAGTGAAACCTCAGAACAAGCAGAGCTTAAGCTCAGTGTCAACGTGCTGTGTCTGTGAGGCCAGCTGAGGACAGTCTGCCAAACTCAACTAAGCCCAGTGCACGGGTGGGGTCCCTGAGGTGGCCCAGATGGTTTGCTGTGAATCCCAGCTGGGTGAAGATGGCACTTAAAATGACAATGGTATAGTTTGATATGAAATTCCAGAACTTGCCTACCATGAGCTGCTTATCTTTGAAACAGTCTTTATTCTTAGACCCAAGACCCAGGCTATTTCTCCTTTCTTAGACGGCACGCCCAGTAAGAGCAGCATCCATATGACTGGTTTCATTATCTCCCAAGCAGGTAGGGGTGGCATCACCACTAGCACTAGCATCCAAACTCTGACACAGATGGATAAGGTTCTGAGTCAGTAAGACAGAGCAGAAGCCATGTCTGGCCAGGATGACCCATTTTGGAGAACCCATTTAGCCATATTCACGCAGTTGAAACCCATCAACAACACACAAACGGCAGATGAGAAATTTAAGAAGGATGGGATCATTTAACTGTCTCACTGAAAACACGATTCCACTTGTTCAGACAGAAAACCTAGCCCGCCTGGCCCGGGAGACTTCCACCAAAGTACTGAAGGACCTGATGCATGGGCTCACTGCCTTAACCCTAGAGTCCTGAGTCAGAAATCTAGCAGGAGAACAGGAAAAGCCTAGTTTGTGAACAACTTGGTCAGAAAGGTCTCCCTCAAAGTGCCCTATCTGGCCGGCTCCAAGAGAGTCTACCAGCAACAGATAATTCTTCCAAATGATCAGAACTGGTTATAAAGTGTCTCCCGAGAATGGTTTGACTACTCCCTTCCCTTCCACCTCAATGGTATGAACCTCAGCAGGATTCTCTAGATATCCACTTTCTCAAGAAGGTCTCCTCCAAAGAGAAACCAGAGCAATGCCTAAGTGGGAACAAGAACCCTAAAGACCTGGCTGCACACTCTACGCAAGCACAAGGGCCCAAGATTCTGGACGACCTAAAAGACAACTGGCACCAAGGAAGAGGCAGAGCCACAGGCCCTCCTGGGCCAGATGCCAAAACGGTTCTGATACGGAGACAGAAAGGGGAGGTTCTCAAATGAAAGATCAAAGGTTAGGGCTTTAAAAAGAAGGTTGGTTCCCAAGAAAACACTGAACAGAACCTGCGAAGCTGTACCAATTTCAGTAGAAATGATAGTATAGCAAAAGGGAACAAACCGCCGTCTTGTAGTATGAACTCATCTCTTCAGACGCTGAAGAAGTGGCTGAAGCCTGCTTTTACAACTACTCTCACTGTATCTGCAAAAAGTTTATCTTTCTTTTCTTTGGTCTTTAGGCACAATACCAGTTTCTTCCATTTTTCTATGTCAAATTATATAAAGATTTTTTTAACCTGCTCTCAACAATCAAAGTGCAGTTTGAACATGGGGTTGCTAATGTTGTTGCTTTTATAACATAAAGTATCAACATCTCCCACACATTTTATGTTAGGCTAAAAAAGGTCTAAGAGTTAATTATAATTATCCTAAAATGTTACAGTATAATTTTAAGGCTGAGTGAGATACAGTAAAGCCTGGGTATTATATCTGAAGGAAAAAAACCTAGACCAGCATTTAAAATATTGATCTTGTAAATACACACGTGATCTAATCATCAAAAGCAACGTAAACAGTCACAGCTAAACAAATTAAAAAATGAAAAAAAAAAAGAATGGATGCACTTAATTAATCATGTGTTTCCACAGCTATAAAGCATAATTTGGAAGCCAAACCTAGTGACGATGACAGAATAATTTACCATCAATTGAGCTCTGTGATACTTAAGAAACAACTGCTCTCACCTCCAAAAAGCAAAACAAAACTTCATCTGACACAAGTTTCAACTATTACAAAAAAAAATTAAAAACCAAAAACAAAACCAAAACCCCTCTGGCCCAATTTGCGGTGACTGACACACTGTCTGATGAATACTGATCAAACGATCCAACCGCTTTCCTCTCCCAAAGAAGTGGTTTACCAACAACACAACTTATACACGCGCTGCTGCCAGGCCCCAGGCACCGCACACTCACCGCCGTACGTGACACCTGTTCCCTGAGTCTTTAAGCGTTAAGTGGTTCGGTGACATGCTCGCTCCTGGGGGTAGCCTCAGGTTTCCTTGGCCGGGGCTCCTGGAGCTTTTTACATAGCATAATGATAAAGTCCAACAGGAACATAAGACTTGCCAAAAATCCAAATACCTGAGGAGGGAAAAGGGGGCACAGGTTATACGGGGAAGTCTGGAATATAATCTCACCTTTCCTACTTGGCTCTGATCGTGTTTCATATAAGCAAGATAATTCATCAATTTATCTTATACACAGCATTCTTAACTTTAGTGGCTAAAAAAAGTCAAGGTCATCAAAAATGGAAAGAAGCTATGACAACAACAAAAATCCAGAGTAATGGCCATTAGTCAAAGTCTCACAAAATACAAATGTCCTGTCTTGCATGTGTATGCATACGTGTCAGGTCCCAATCTATGAAACTAAGGTTAACAGATGAAAAACAAAATCCTATAACATGGTACAAAACACAGGATTATTAGCAATGGGTAGACTGACCCACAGATAAGCTAAGGTTTGAAATACGTGAGTAGGCAGCTGAGCCTAGGTAAAAATGGAAAAGGTTATTAATAGCAAAAGAGAAATTCTATTCTGAGGATACTTTTACGTTAAATTACCTAAACAGTATTTCCCAGTTGGCTGTCACAGTGCAATGACACAGTGACATGACGCCACTACCTACTTCCTCTTCCTGAAACCACTTCCTCATTGTACTCTTCTAACATCTGATCAAACGTTCTGAGAATTCTGTCACGAGACAGAAGACCACGGTTCACATTTAGCTTCTTCACTAGCAAAACCCGTAAGGAAACAGAGGCCAAGAAGCGATCTGTAGGAAAAGAAAATCGATGTAGGTAATGGCTAACGTCTCTTCCAACCCTGACTACCTCTCCACGAACTGAAACATTTTGTCGTCTGCACAGTCTCTCACCCTTCACATCCAACCCCTCCACCCTGAAGAAGATGCATTCTGCCTCATTTCCCTGGACAGCAACCTGAGCTCCAAATCCATTCATTCACGTGGGTGTTCCCGAGACATCCAACCTAATGTTCATTATCAAGTCCATCCCCCCTCACCAACCCAAGTCTCTTCTCCCCTCTGGAGTCTTTATTTTGGCTTGATGGCCTCTATCCCCTTATTTGATCAGCAAATATTTTCAACACTTTAAAGGCAGACCAGATGTCACCTTGTCTATGATGCCATCTGAGTCCATACAGAGCCCTCCATGCCGTGTAACTCAGATCATCTACTAGCTCTTTTCCTCACATCACAGTTTTTTAAAAAATGGACTCCCTCACTCATTTAAGTCTATATTTTTTCCTAATTTAAATAGTTGCAAAAGGTAATTTCCAGCATATTGTAAATACTGAGTTTTTAAACTACCAGTCACTTTTAATACATCCAATGAAATCTAAATACTGTAACAATCTAACACATCATCTAATTTCAAACACATAAACAAGCTCTTTTTTAATAGCTGGGGATTTCAGGACATGCTTTTTCCCCCACCATGAACTCAACACTTCCTCACCTTCATTTCACTCTCAGCACAGGATTTTATAGTAATACATTTTTATATTAGAAATTATTTCACTCACCACCCATCACCCTATCATGTGCTTCTACAACAAAATATGATTATAAACCGAAATAGCATAAGGCTTTTTTTTCCCTCTTCAACTGGTTCCTGTATCCATGGCTAAATACAACTTATTGCTAGAATGAGTCAAGGTTCAGCATTAATTTTATTTCTATGCTTTTACACGTATAACTGTTAAGAAACCGTGTTTGCAAAAATAGGTAGATACCGCTATCCAAGTCTCTGAACTCCTTTTGAGTTGTTTTGTCACAAAAAGCAGTTTTAACGATCTATTGGCTGACAACTCAATTACAACTTCAACTTTGTTATGAACAAAGCATTAGTTAGAAACCAGCTGACTTGGAAGAGGACTTACTAACCACCTGTTAGTTGTTCATGTTCACAGTACTGGCACCAATTCAAGCCCCTGATCCTTGACTTGCAATTCTGAAATCCAAAAAGCTACAAAAACTGTTTCATGATTTACTTGGCTCAAACTGACACAAGATAAAACTACTTATAGTCCTTACCTCTCTCTTTTACTGTGAACAGTCACATGCTTCAGAAACACTAATACGCTGGATTACAGGGGGCTACCCCAGGCCCTCTGAAGGTGTGTAATACAGGATATATACAGTATTACCTTTCTAAAATCCAGCATATTCTGAATTCTGAAAAAAGGTGGTCCCTCAAGGATTTCAGATGAATACGTTTACCTCTCTCTCTCTTTCATAAGCTGAACTTTTGGATCATTTCTCCTGTCTACTCTCTACGCCTAAAACAGCACCTGCTATGTAAGTGTGTTTCTGTTGAACTGAAAAGGGGAAGAATATAAGATAATAAAGTCAATTCTACCACTTCCATTAGCCGTAACATGTTCATATGTGGAGTAAATGGATTTTTATTAACAAAACTAAGTCAAATTCTAAACACAGGTTCTAGGTTTTTAAGGCTATCATACTGACTTCCTTTCAGATCTTCTATTCAAAATTACACTAAAAAGTCAGTCAAAAGATAAACTACTCTCCCTTATTGTATAATCTGTCAAGTACTTTCTAACTTCTCTATTTCTAAGGAAACAAACAGAAGTAAAGACAAAAGGTACTTACAACTGCAGAAATTTCAGCTGAGGTATTGTCATGTGTTAAAGCGAAAATGATGGATGCCAACAAAAACACAATTCCTGTTCCCAAAGTAATATAAAAATCCTATATATAAACATAAAACACAGGAGGAATACAGCACAGTTAGGCTGACTGAAAACAAATGTTTTAATTTTTAACTTTTAAAAATCTTTCATGACTTACCTTTTTTTCCTTGACCCAAACTTACATAATTCAACTTCTAACTTTTTAATAAGCCTGGTATTTGATAAATACCCTGCAAAGGAACACTATCCACACTTTGAACAGGGCATATTCAGAGAGGACATCACAAGATAATCTTTTAATAAAAATAGTTCCCCATTATCACTTATATGTGGAATCTAAAAAATAAAATAAATATGAATGTACCTAACAAAACAGAAACAGACTCAGAGACATAGGGAACAAACTAGTGGTTACCAGGGAGAGAGGCAAGATGGGTGAAGAGAATTAAGAGGTACAAACTATTATGTATAAAAATAAATAAGCAACAAGAATATACTGTACAGCACAGGGAAATATTTCAACCTAACTTTATGGAGTAAAATCTATAAAAACAATGACTCGCCCTGTTGTACACTTGAAACTAATTTTAAATCAGCTATATTCCATTAAAAATAAATAAAATGAAATAAAAAGTTCCCCAAGAGGTCGTGCAAGTATGTGTTTATCCTTTTCTCTAGGACATATTAAGATCATCAAACCCAAAGGATTTCTTAAATCCCGTACTTCCAGCAAAGAAAAGCATTTTTCTTCCCTTAAAAAGTAAGCTATGCTAGGATATGGCCTCTCTGAGAGGACTTCAGTGCTTTTAAAGTACTTTGGAAAAGAGAGCATCAAAAGGCCGACCCATCTTCAACTAAACAAAATTATGTCAACAATTTGTTTTTTAGACACTTAAGCTTTCTGGAATAACATGTTGCTTTCAATTGTTCCAAGTGGGTTATCCAATGTGAGCCTGTATGACAAGATTATCTCCTACATAAAAGCCTCTACATCTCATCGTAATGTAGCGGAAGGTGATGAAATTCTTTGTGGGTTTTCGAGCGCTCTCCTGGGCAGTACCACACAGGGCTCTCTCTCATCATGCCAACTGAAAACATGCTTGACATACATACTTGATGCAGAGGAGAAACTGGAAAAATGACAGTCCAGCCACTCCAAAGTGTTTAAGTCTGGTATTTTGTATTGGAGGTTTCTGAAATACAATCTTCACTAAACCTATTATCAATAAAACTACCCCAAACAGAATTCTTATGCTGTCAATAGTTCACTTAACATTTATAAAAAACTTCACAGAGATTTTCTCTTTGCTTCTAAAAGAGGTGTTTTTCTGCAGTACTGTTTTTCTATTCCTTTGAATATGATTTCAAATCTATTACATACAGATATAAAACTCTCTTTACTAACATTTGGAGTACATTCAAGGAGATATTTAAACAAGACAATCATTTTGAGACAGAATAACAGACTGTTTGGTAAACACAGGTTCCTGAGCCAGACTATCTAGGTTCACAAGGACTCTGAATTAGTTCCCTAACGTCTGTGTGCCTTTGTTCCTTCATCTGCAAAATGAGAGTAAGAATAATGTCGTCTTCACAGGTGATTCTAAAGATTAGAGTTAATTCATGAGAAGTGCTCAGTTCACTGCCAGACAGACAGTAAATGTTCCATAAATGCTGCCTTTGTCATTTGTGATATAATCTGACCCACAACTGCATGGGACAGAAAAGATCCTCTCTCCAACAAGATTACTACTCCTGCCTAGACATCACCACCACCACACACACAAAACATTCTCTCTGAAACAGAAAACCTCTCATATAAAAATTTTAAATTTAATTATGTTAATAAGCAGACAGGAAAAGTGATTTTTAAACCATTCAAACATATATGAATTCCTCATGTTTGAAAAGCAGAATGTCTATGATTACAACCATTTTTAAAAATTAAAAATCACCTACAAATAAAAAAACAAAAGAAACACAGTAAAATGTTTACAAAAGTTACTTTAGGATTAAGTGACTAATTTCTCTTTTTTTCTCAGTATTTTAAAATCAGTATTTACTCTAAAATAACTTTTTATATGCTCAAGTATAATAAGGGCTTTACATTTTGTTTAGTTTGACTGCTGTACTAAACTGCAAAATACTATAATGTTGTTTCTTGTCAAAAAGATCAATGTTCTTAAATGCTACAGACACAGCACTAAAAAACTAAATACTTCTAAAAATCTTTTCATGGATATTGATACTATTTTGCCATTAGGGGCTAAGAAATGAAAAAATATTTTCAATATTTAATATTTACAATATAAATTGTCCAAATCTTACTGCATACTTACCTGTATGCAGATTATAAATATAATTAACAAAAATGCTAAGGTATTCTCTGCATCTTCTTTTTAATTTGAATTTCATAAAATAAACAGGTTTTGCTGTCATCATTATGCAGACTCCTACGGTGACGATATTTGCCGTAACAGCATCTAAATCTAGAGGGCGAGGGTTCTAGTAGGATTCGGCCTCCGCCAGGTGACATACTGCAAGCTGCAAGTCCTCTCCGGGGTTAAATCTCAGGTTATTTTTCCCCTTGCTGTGTCACTTTAGACAAGTTACTTAACCACCCTTAACCTAAGTTTCCTCAACAGAAAAGTGAAGTATTACTGTGTGAAGATTCTAAGCCACAGCATATAAAGTGTCTGGTGCTCAGGACATGCTGACAGCAGTTATTACCAGGTAAGATAATGGGACAGTTGGATACTGGCTACACCAAGAATAGCACAGACGTGCTCATCAAAGACTTGATGGATTTGATTCAGGCTCCACCTGTGTTTCAAAGTTATTTTCTACCTGTCTGGGATCAACTTTTTGGTTTTTAATTTTTAAATTAAAAGTTATATACACATATATATCTTTTAAGTTTAAATATATATCATATTATATATAATTATACATATACATATCACATTATACATACATATAATCATATGTTACATATGTATATATATGTATGATATGACTGTATGTATGTATAATTATGTATTATATATAAATATATAAAATATATACACACATATATATATTTTACTGAAGTATAGTTGATTTACAATACTGTGTTAGTTCCAGTGTACAGCAAAGTGATTCAGTTATATTTTTTCAGATTATATTCCATTACAGGTTATTATAAGATACTGAATATAATTCCCTGTGCTTTACAGTAAATTCTTGTTGCTTATCTATTTCATGTATAGCAGTCTGTCTCTGTTCATCCCAGACTCCTAATTTGTCCCTCCTTGCTCCCCTCTCCCCTTTGGTAACCACAGGTTTGTTTTCTAGATTTGTGAGTCTGTTTTGTATAGATTCAAACTGTATTATTTGTTTAGATTCCACACATAAGTGATATCACACAGTATTTGTCTTTCTCTGACTTACTTCACTAAGTATAATATTCTCTAGGTCTGCCCATGTTACTGCAAGTGGCAATATTTTGTGTTAAAAGAATTATTTTAAAAGAAGGCAATAGATTGTTATGGCACAAAATTTAAGATGTACCAAAGGGTCTATAGAAAAAAAGTAAATCTTAGATGTATTTTAAATATATGACCCAAGGCTTGCATCCCGTAAATTTAAAATAATAAAATCTTACTGCTTTGTATTTATACTGTTCTCTCTTATTTATGATAGTTAAAAATTACTCTAATTTTTATCTTTTCCCTCAAAGACATCAATTATTTCGTAAATCAACCCTGACATAGTCAATTCTTCACAAACCACTCCTGATAACTAGAATGCTATTGAAGTAAACTGCTCAATTCTTTCTTTAAATGCAGTAACGATGTACATTATCTCACCTGTCACCTCACAAATTCATACTCTAAGCAAATCGAAACACAGGGTCAGCAGACTAAGTCTTTAGAAAGTTATACATCTCTAATTCTGTGAATGTAAAATTCTCATATACACTTTTATTAAAAGGGAAATTTCTGAACAATGAACTTAACAAATGTCTCCTTAATTCACTTGTAGACAACTTTTTTTTTCATAACAAATCCAAAGCAAAATAGATGGAATTACACGCTTTCTTGTTTAAATGCTCTAGACATACATCACGTTAGCTCATTACTCTCTCATGTCGAGCATAACGCCTGGCCTACAAGAGGTACACAGTGAATAACTGTAGAACCAATGAGCGATGCTCTGAAATGTGAGAGATAAAAAGAGATAAAATCCTAGTTTTTAAAAACACCTAATGTGAATTAGGTTAAATCACCAATAATGAAACCACTGGCAGCGTGCGTCACTCTCACTCTAATTTCATTGCCCCCGTCATCCCACTTGGCAGGGAGACCACGGCTGCTCAGTGGCAGAGCTGGGACAACAGGCAGTATCTTTTCCTGTTGCTGACTTGTGAAAACATTACTCTGGAAACAATAAAACAACACAAGACTCCCAGATACCCAAGTTCTTTAGGGATTGCGTTTTCTTATGCTTACCGATGACTTGACTTTCACGAGTTCAACCTTCTCGTAAACCGGCGTGCAGTACACTATCAGCATGAGGAGGCTCAGCAGAAAGGCACTGCAGCTCACAAATTCAAAAAAGTAAAGCCCTCCACACAAAGTACACTGTGACACAATCTCCTCACAGATAAAGGCCAAAAGAGACAGCACCTACAAAAGAAAGCAAACATTTTGCTTAAGGGCTTTTCAGAGAAACTGACCGTACCCAGAAAACACCATCCGTTCACTCAAATATTTATAACGTGGACACTGTGGCAAACAAGATTACTGTATGAACCGGATCGAAACAAAACTGACAGTCTAGCTGCCTTGGAGGGAATACTGGGACCCAGATAATCGACCACCTACTGTATGCTGGATGCCAGAACCCAAGAAACACGGGGTGTCGTTATGAAAGCACACTGAAGAGGCACTCAACCTGGGGGTCAAGAAAGGCTCCCTGAAGGAGAGCTGAGTCCAGAAGGGTGGCAGGGTCAGTATGGGGAGTGGAAGATAGGGGAAGGGTCCAAGCAGAGGAGCAGTGCAGAGAAAGACCTAGAGGTGAGAGAGTGTGGTGCCTTCCCACCCCAACCACACATGGAGATCCACTCCCCCAATGAATCGTGAAAGCAGGGTGATCAACGAGGCTAATGGGTCCAGTGAGAGGGGAAGGGGTGGCAGTACAAAAATGATGAAGTGAGACTAGAGGGGTCAGCAGAGGCCAGTTCTAAACTTCTACTGGTTTAATGAATCCGGATTTTAAGGGTTTAAAGCAAACAGGTGCCACCATCAGGTTTCTGTTTTTAGCAGTTCTCTAGCTACAATACGGAGAAGGGACTGGGAAAAGGGCAAAGCTGGCAATGGACCTCCAGTTGGGAAGCTGATGTCAGAAATCAGGGGAAAGACAGTAAACAGGGTAGTAGCAACGAGGAATGAAATCACAGAAAGGGGCAAAGCCTCATCAGACAGGAAGAATACAAACAGAAGAGGAAGTAAGATAATGTTATGTGTGCTTAAACACCTTAACTTAAAACAAAAAGCACACTGATTTATTCACCCATCTTTTCAGTATGCGCCTACTGATTGCAATTCCACCTCTTGTTTTCTGCATTAATCACTTCCATAGTTGATGACAACCACTTCCAGACTGATGTTATTTGAAGTGGAGCACTTGAGAAGCAACACGCAGAATCCTTCTACAGTTGGACTAGTTTTACCAGCCCTTCACAGTTGCCATGCTCTTACTTAATTCCATGGTATTTTAGTCACTTTTTTGGGGTCTTTCCAAAGAATTCAATTTATTTTCATAGAAACAATTCCTTTCCACATTCAGTTTTAGCCTGTGTAGTACTTAAGTGTTTGGCCATCAAAAGTATAATTTTTTTTATGCATTGAATGGAAAACAGCTAACTAGCTAACTCTGGCTACTTTGGCAACTCAATTAAATGCAAGTGGGTTTGAATGGCGTGTCCACTGTTGTCAACTGTGGTATTAACACACTGGTGCCTCACTGCAGAGGTCAGTCTTTTCTTCTCTTTAAGAGGCAAGGGTGCTGGAAAGAGAACAAATCCCATTTTAAATTTGCTGTGTATCGGGGGTCTGCAGAAGTTAGATGGAGCGGGCTAGGATGCAAAAGGTGGGGGACAAGGAAGATAGCTCAGTGGTAAGAGTGCATGCACAGGGTCTTGGGTTCAATCCCCAATGCCTCCTCTAAAAATAAATCAGTAAACCTAATTACTCCTCCCCTCACCAAAAGAAAAACAACATCAAAGAAAAAGTAGGAGGCAAAAGGATAGCTGGGTCTGGAGCTCAGGGGACAGGTCTGAGGTGGAGATCAAGATGTGGGATCACCCAGAATGAGGAAAGCTGGCCTCGTGCAGGACTGTGAGGAAAGGCTACACAAAGGGGGAGACACCAGCAAAGGACAATCAGGAGCAAGGGGCAGCAGACCAAGAAAAAAGTCCTTCTACAAAGAGCAAGTAATCAAGAGCACTGACTGCTACTCAGAGGTCCAGGAAGAACAATACTCCAACACTTCCCCCAGACTGAGCCGCAGGAACACTGCTGGTGACAAGACCACCCAGGACGCTGGGACTACAGTACTACATGCTGGAAAGTGAGGGGGACACAAGGCAGTGGAACAGAGATGGCCAGTCACCAAGTGCAGCTTCCAGCAGCCAGATAGTAGCAGATGAGGTCAAAGCGAAAGGAATTCCAAGACAGGAGAGAACTGAGCATGTTTAAATGCTTAGACAGAAACCAGTAAGATTGGTGGATCTAAAGACAGAGGAAGACAAGCAGATTTCTAAAGGTGGGATTTAGGGTTCAAGGTGTGGGGCTGACTCTTCTCTAGAAATAGGAAGGGAGAGAGGAGAGAGGTTCATTTGGGCAGTTTGTGTGGGTGTTGTGGGAGCTAAGGGAATTTCCTTCTGAGCATTAAAATCATCAAAATGACTGACAACCCAAGTCAGAGACTATCGGGAAATGCTGTCTCACCCAAGGCAGGTCAGCAGAAGCAACCAGATGTATTACTGGCAACAAGACTGCTACCCAAATCAACAGATATGTTTTACAGTATATAATAAAAATTTTATCCTACGAAACATTTTCATCAAAGCAAAGGTCAATGGTACAGCCACTCTGGAAAACAGTTGAGCAGTTGCTTTAAAAACTAAGCCTGCAGCTGCTATGTGAGCCAGCAACTGCGTTCCTACACACTGCACGTGACCATAATAAATGAAAACTTCAGTTCGGGCAAAAACTGGTAAATATGAATGCTCTTAGTATTTTACTCATAAGAGCCCCAAACTGGAAATAATCCAGACGTCCTTCAACGGTTAAGCAAACTGCCAATCCACACCACAGAATACTACTTAGCAATAAAAAGGAACAAATGTGATGTATGCAACAATCTGGATGAATCTCCAGAGTGAAAAAAGTCCAGTCTCAAAATGTTACAGACTGCATGATTCTATTTCTATAACAACTATGCTTAGAGATGGAGAACTAAATTAGTGGTGCCAGGGGACAGGGGAGTGGTGTGGCTATGGAGGGGTGGCAGGGGGAGCTATGTGGTGATGCAACAGCTCTGATTCTTGACTGCGATAATGCTTAAGAAAGCTACACTTGATAAAGCAGCAAAGAGGCGTGCGCGCGCACACACACACACACACACACACACACACACACACACGAGTGCAGTAGGACCT